AACCCAGCAAAAGCACCAAGGTACACTGGGCATTTTTGGTAAGCTCTCTAAAAAATGGGCATCAATAATCTGGTAGAAAAGAAAGGGATTTAAGTGCTTTTCTGCTCATTCCACAGAAAGGCCACATAATTATTTTGGCGTATTCAAAGGAATCTGTATGATTCTACTAGTAGGGAAAATAATTTGCCCTAACCTTATGAACAAAATTATGCATTCTCTGCTATGTACAATTTATATTTTGAGTCTCAGCTGGCTTTAAAATCTAACTCTAAATATTTCAGGCTTGTTCATATCTGTACTGATTTAGAGGAAAAAAAACCCCAAACATGTGACCTCTGCCCACTGAAGACATTAGATTAAAAATAAATCACTGATAGGAATGATGAAACCACAGTTATCTGAATATTTACTTAACATACTTAATGGCAATTAACCAACTCAGAGGAACTCAGAGGAATTTGTGTCTTAAGGTCTTCATTTTCCTTCACTTTCACAGTAGTAATTTTGGTGCTGCCACCAGTTTCAAGTAATGATGTATATTCAGAATCTTACTCTGAGGAAATCTGGAATGAAAGTTAGTTAGATTGCTGAAAGTTATCTTTCTCAAGAGCTGCCATTGTCCTCTTTAATTCCATTCCAGCTGCCTTATTTAGGACACAGATGGGTGAAAAACTCCCAATCAATGGCTCACCTGTTCAAAAAACACATTTATTTCAAATATAAAGGTAATTTCTGAGGACAGTTAACCTAATATTATGAGGTCTTACTGTCTTCCTGCTTTTGAAATTCGTTACATAGCTTAAGACTCTAAACAAAAACTCTGGCTTTAAAGAGTCACGAATATCACAGCAGATATTTGTGAACTATTAGCTGTGGTGGAATCTGCTATATTGCACCTGGCTGGTGCAGTTCCCTCCATTAATTGTACAGAGCCTGTATTTGGGAGCTCTAACTAATAAGCTAAGAGGGTCTTTATGGCTTTCAATTTTCCAACAGCTGGCTGGTATGGAAACAAGATGTCTTGGCACAGAGAATTGTTTATTCTTGTGTAGATTCAGTGTGCCTAATTATGTGTTACACAACAATGGAAATATGCAAAATAATTAATATGAAGCACCTAGCCCAATTCTGGCAAAAATTCTTCCCCATCATTAAACCATCATTCTTCCCCATCATTAAAAAATGTGGGTTTTGTGCAGAAATAGGATTTCAACAGCCCAAGAAGGAACACTGCGTTTGGCATATGCTCAGCACCAAACCAACCCACCTCACAAGCACTGTTCATTCTTTCTCTGAAGTACATCAGTTCATTTTGGTTGCATGTTTTGGTTGTAGTCTTTTTTTGTTTTACATTATGTTTTCTATGCATTGGTTCCAGAAGACTGGAAATTTTTGTTTATGCCGATGTGTTTTTTAAATTCTATCCTGTGGTTAAGTGGGGCATTGGTTGCTAAGATGTTTCACAGGGATATATGAATGAAATGAATGAAGGAAGGAAGCCAAATTTCTCTTCTCACTGTGCATTTAACACCATCAATTAGAGGAATAAGAAAAAATTAGATTAGACTATTCTTGCTTTCTCTGAAAACTGTTGTTTTGCCTTTCAGGTAAGAACATTTTTCCTTTCCTTATCTGCCCATTCAAACTTCAGTGGAATTCTCATGCAAATAAATAGGAAGAGGACAAGTACTCTCAACAGCTCTGAAAATGCTTCTGACTTCCACCACTCTCTGTCAAGATCAGAAAAATTCTGATAGCATGTTTCACATCAGACAGGAGTGAACAGAACACAAGCACAAATGTAAGACTCACCAGGAGTTAAAATGGTAAATTAAAAAAGAAAACCAACAAAACCTGGCAAAACAAGTTACAAAAAAATTAAATAAACTTTTCCAAGCGGAGCAGATAATTCCTTTTGTTTTATCCTTTTTGTTGAACACCTTATACACCTTTCCTGAAGTACAAAGAGGTTTTTTCATTATTAATGTCTGGAGGTAGCTAATTGCCAGTTAAGCATCTGCTATGTCACGGACTGCAAAAATTGTCCCTTATCTGCTGGATGGCTCCAGCGTAGAGCACGTGCCTTCAGCTCCCCAGCCTTGAGAGCCAAAGCCTTGACTCCAGCTGGAGCACTTCACAGAAATGCAGGTGAAATCCTCCCCAGAGAGCCTTTTCTGTGGATCTGTGTTTTTTATTTTCCCTTAGGGACTGGTGGAGAGGACAACCCCTCTCTGCCACCACTCAGCTTCCTTCCTGTTAACACATCCTGATTTTTCCTCAGTAAATAGGAACATTTTCCTGCATACTCAGCACCACTGGTGCATATCTCCTCTCCTACACCTGGTTTCCTGCGCAGAGTTGACACCATAATTAGAAGAAAACCAGTCATTATCCAGGCTCTTGACTACAAAGGAAAACACCATCTTGGGCCATACCAGAGAAAAGCCTTTTTGTCACTCCATAAGGAGATCTGGATCACAAAATTCCAACCATGGGCTGGTGTCCTGGGTTCAGCAAATGAGTAGAGGGAGAACAAACACTCAACCTCCTTAAAAATGGTCTCTGGTGGTGAAGTGTTTGGAGAAGCAAATCTACTCTCTATGTCATGTCCAAGAGTAACATCCCTCCATAAGGATTTAGTTAGCAAAGTGCCATCTATGCAGATCACAAATTACATCAAGGACAAGACATTTCACTACCACAGGAAAAACTAAACAAAAGAAAACCAAAACACCACTCACAACCCTACCAGTAGTTACACATTGCTAATCATATAGAACACATCAGCAGTGAAAAAAGGACTGGATTCTATGAAACTCGTCTCAAATGTATTGGCTGAATATCTTAATATATACAAGAGTATTTTCCTGCTCTAATGCATTTGTGATTAAATAGTGTTTAGGCATATCTTCTGAATTTGTTAGCAGCTTCTCAGGAAGCTTTTCAGAGAGCAAAGGTTAATACACACTTGGAATTATCCTGTTGATATGTCATCCCATCTTCATGTGGTTAAGCCCATCACAGGAGCCAATATAAATTTAACACCATTTCAGGAAAGGCTTAAAAATATTCTGTGACATATCATTTAGAGGAGGTCATGTAAGTTCCAAAGGCAGCCTTTCACATCCACAGTGTGACACTATTAAATCCAAGTGTTTTAAACAAGATCTTATTAAGATTATCCAGCTAGACCGGGGATACACAGTATTTTACCTACAAAGCAGTGTAAAATGTCTTGAAGATTTGGCTTCACACTGATACCAATTCCAAAGATTTGCTCTTTGAGAGTCCTAATTAGGCAGCTGTATTCTAACAGATTGTTTAGCCTCCTCTGAACGAATATTTCCTAAGCAGCTTGCCAATTGAAAATACTCTATTCTCAAGATGTTGTCGCTTTTGGCTACTTTGCTCTACTAAATAACCCTCAAATTATTTCTGTCAGCAGCATGTCAGCTGACTGGGCTCTTAAGCTTCAGCCTCCCACTCAGGTGGAAAAGCAAACAGGAACTCTTGTATCTTTTGACTATCTAAACTGAAACAAAAGATTATTTGTTATAGAGAATGCAAATATTAAACAGTTGTAAAATGCAAATACATTACCACCTGTAGCAGTCTGAGGTTTCTCCATTAGCCCCAATCATTAGGCTATAATCAATATTATCTGGTTCTCTCTAAAGTAGACAAGGAGTTTCCTTCACCACTGCTTCTCATAATTCATTTATTCATTTTTGTCAGATCTGCAATCAACCCTAAGTTCTGGGACAAAGACCAACCCCATTTTTTGGGGTACATCCACATGGGGTTTAAACAAAAAACAAACCCACAAAAAAAGAAAAACTGACCCCACACACATTTTCTGTGTAAATCAGATTTCTGAATCTCGGATGCAATAAAACACAAAGTGAGTCATAATATGCAGCACACCCACAAAAGCCTTCTGGTTTTAACTGCAAAGCCAAAGGTAGGTGCAGTTTCATTGTTAAATATTAAATTCCTAGTGCTGCACAGCTGAATGAATTAACAGGTACAGAAAAGAGCTTTTCCACTTGCATTTCAGGGTTCATTTTCCCAGTGTTCACTGCGAGATTTACAAGAGGGTTCACTCACACATGTATGCTTGCAAATACCAAAGCCCTAATTTCTAACTGTGTCTTGTTTGTAACAATCTTAAAAGATTTTGCTGAAGATATTTGCTATTAAACATTTTTGTTGACTTGCAACTTTTTGTGACTTGAGCCACAAAAAAATCCCAACAGGCAAAATGAGATGAAGGCAAAGTGGCTTTTTAAAAATCCCTAACCCTATGGTTAAGTATGTGTTGAGATGGAATTCCCAGAACATTTGTATCCTCCTAGGGCTTCTATCTGCAAGAGTAATGCTCTGATTTCCATTCCTTACAATACCCTGGTGAGAAGTATTCTCAGTTTTATCTGTTTAGGGTTTTCATGGTTGTCTATTAATCACCAACAGGAATACAGACTGGATCTTAAGGTCCCACTTGGCAAGGACCTACTCCTAAATCTCCATTTCCCTCATCAGTGCATCATATTATTAGAATTCTGCCCAACAGAGTGGATATTTGCATTTCTTCTGGAAACCCATGGGGTTAGCAGAGCTTCATTAGAATGGATTTAAAAGATGCTTTCCCTTCTAGTCTAAAGGAGATCAACTCTGAAAAGGAGAACTAATTGCCTACAGAGATGGGCCATGCACAAGTGGAAATCTTTTTTCAAACAGCTCACTCATATACCCCATGACACCGCCACAATTACTCAGTTACTGGAGAAAAATATGGAAGGCAGCACAAAAGTCCTCTTGCAGATGTCCTTAAAGCTCAATATTCCATAGCCTTGGTTTTGATATTAAAAAACAAACACACACAAAAAACAAACAAACAAACAAAACCAAGCAAGACCCCCAACCACTGTTTTCTAATGAAAGAAAGAAAAAAATTCAACATTATCCTTTTCAAAAGAGTAAAAGAAGCAGAAGATACTTACATGATCATTCCTGCCCTTGGCAGAGGAGTGCACTGAGTGACCTTTGAAGGTCCCTTCTGAGCCAAACCTTCCTGTGATGCTCTGCTGTGTCTGCCTGCTGCTCTACGCCATTATCAGAAAGAAACAAGGCCAAAAGGGAAGACAGTTGCATAAGTGACAGAAAATATTTCACACAGATTGCAACAAGCCATGAAACTTCTCTTAGAGGGCAAGTTATTTGTGTTCTGTACTGGACAATTAATGCCATTAGAGAGCACAGAATTAATAGCCCTCATTAAAATCATCCAGAGATTTTCACTGCCACAGTGGCTGTGACCAACCCAGAACGCCCAAGAACAAATCAAGGTTGCATCCTTCACTCCTCTATGTAATTTTTGCTGAATATACATTTATTTATTATATATTATTATGGTTGCTCTAGATCTCTCTGATTATTCATTTTCACTGAAAAAGCATTGGTTTACGCTTGTAACAACATCCTTTGGTTGCTAATATAAGATTTCTATTTTAGCACTGAACAAGAGCAGGTACTCTGTTCTGACAGTTTGAAATCTACAGAGCATTTTAAGGAGACTGATAATATTTAAATAAAAAGAATCTCCAATATTTTAAAAAATAAAGAACAAGTTTTCAAGTCTGGGCAGACATGCTAAGAAATCTTTAAAAATAATTTTTAAAAATCAGTAAGCTATTTCCCCATCAAGTAATTTGTAATCCCTCTTGATAGTGGAACCCCAAAATGGCTCTAAGTAGTTTTCAGGACACATGTAGAATACATATTCATCTTTTTAAGTCTGCATATTTGCTACCTGAACCATTTAAGCAGATTTACTTGATGACAGATTTCAGAGAGATCTGATAGGCAATGGAGATTATCAGCAGACAAAAATCCTATGCTATACAGTGAACCATTATAGAATCATATGTCATACCAATTCATGATATCTCTTCAATGGGATATCAAGATAAATTTAAGGAAACTGAAATGATGAATCCTTCAGATAAGGATATGTTGTCCCCCACTTTAGTATGAGTTAAAGTAGTTTTGTGCAAACCACTGCTCATGTACCTTAATACCTATTTTTTTTAATCTAACATTTTGAAGGAGGAATTTCTAGGGGATTGAAGGTGGGGAAAAGTTACAGAAATATTAGCAGAGAAAAAAACCACTGAGAATAGATATATAACTTCATAAAAATATATAAAATTGAGATAAATTCTCTAAAGCCTTCATCAATGCAGGGTAGCACAGAATTTTATCATATATTAAGTCATCTGGGAGCCCTGTCTTTGAGAGATTCAGAATTGCTTACCCAATTTCAGTGATTACTCTCAGATAGTATGATAGGAATGTGCAGGATTGATCCCAATCAGCTCTAGCTCATAAGCCATTCAATTTCCTGAAAATCCTGCAGTGCTCCCTTCTCCCAGGTGCCTGAGACACTGCTAAAGTGTGAGGCACATCTGGCAAACACCAGGCACAATGAGCACATTAAGGGGGAAAAATGGCAGGCAGAGCTGAGGCTGCTGAGACAGAGATAACACCTCCTGAATTCATGAGGAACAGACAGCAGCATGAAAAGGGATAAAACCATATGGAGGGAAAATCACCCTATCAAACTGGGGTCTCAACCATGAGATTCAGCCAGTTTTGAGAACCACTGAGAGCAGCTCCTCCAGCTGACTGAAAACAGCAAAAGCTCCCCTGGCAAAAGCTGCTCAGCAGCCTCACTGGGATGGGCAGTGCAGCTGCAGGTTAGTTCCAGCTTTCCACTGTCTGTGCAGCCAACAAATAATTGCTGTAGGCTTGCAAACATCTCCTGTTTGCAGAGCCTCTCTGTCTGCACAATGTAGAAGCTGCTCAAGCAAAGAAAACCCCTGAGGAAGGACACTGGGTATGAAGCAGGAAAAAGGTTGCCTTTATAGGAATTTTTTTTTAAATGACAAGAAAGAAAGAAAAGAAGGAGAAAGGGGAAAGAAAGGGAAGGAAAGGGAAGGAAAGGGAAGGAGAGGAAGGAAAGGGAAGGAGAGGAAGGAGAGGAAGGAGAGAAAGAAAGGGAAGGAGAGGAAGGAGAGGAAGGAGAGAAAGGAGAGGAAGGAGAGGAAGGAGAGGAAGGAGAGGAAGGAAGGAGCTGCTCTTATGTGTGACACTGCTGCAATAGTCCCCCATCCTGGGGCCTTTCTGTCTGTAGCCAGAAGAAAGGATTAAGCCACATTGCATACTTTGGAAATAAACCTTCTGGTGATGAGCTGCCAAGTGAAGGCCAGCTTTGGATTAATTCCAAAATTCCATGCCATTATTTAGAAGTAGAAGAGCAAAACTACAGCTTAGCATCAATTAGAACAAAACCCCAAATATAGTGGCCTATAGACACACCTGACAACCATAACCATAACCATTCTGAACTAAAAGCTGTACAGCACCTTCCATCTGTTATCCTGACAGAGCAGCGCTGAGGAATGCCTGGAACAAGCTGACATGACTCTTCTGACAGCTTTCATGACTAGTCTAACAAAGGAACACAAATCTGAACTCCTGGGCTTCATTTCCACCCCTGGGGAAGTGCCTGGATTTCCTTCCACTCTTCTCTGTGCTTTTCCTCGCCAGCTGGCTGCCTGCTTTCTCCAGGCCAACAACAGCAACTTCCATTCCCAACACCAACAGGCACTCAGGCAATATGCACATGTTGAAGAAAAGAGGTACACAGGAAAAAAGCTGCTGAATTGTAAGAAGAATCCTCTTTTAGTTCAGGCTTTAGTGACATTTAGGTTGAACCCACAGCTTGGAGCATGAATTCAGCCATTATTACAGCATTTAACTCAGGCCATGACTAACAAAATTAAAGGTGAGAAGTTGCAATGACTTCATTTGCTCATTGAGGAATTATCTTTGCAATATAGGTCTTACGATGTGAGTAACAAGGCACAATTCACTCAGTTCTTCATGAGACTATGGCCCCTGATGTGAACTCAAGCACTGTACTCCCATCACACTTACCATGGATTTATGAACAAGTCTTAGGCCACTGTTTTCAGTTTATGAAGTCAAAAGTGAGTTTAAGGCTCCTGGTAGCTCCATTTAATACATTACACACATTGATCAACAGGAAGTGCTTGTGAGCAGCTGTAACTTTTAGCCACATTTCAGTTAAAATGGGATAATTAGGATACGTAGGATTGTCTTTCTTTCACTCTACTGTACTAATTTATGTCAATTATATCACATTTTGATGGGCTTAAAAAAAAGAGTATTCTAAATTACTTATATAAAACCTGTTCTGAAATTTTAATTTAACTTGCTTCCTGTACCATCAATAAATTTGAAAGAAGGTTACATATATTGGAACTAGAATTTTGTTGAAAACAAAGCTGCAGCCTGCTTTCCTGGATGTGTTTACAGGCATTATTATGGTTTGATCTGCTTCCTAATTTCTGAAGCAATGCATTTTTTCTCCTCTGTCATTTATTTTGAATGCAACATGTTCACAAATGCTGATTACTTTTCTGCTAGGGATTTTAGCCATCTGTGCTAACACAGTTGCTGAGAGAGTCACACACAATAGGAGCAGGAGATAATAGTCATTAACATGAAACAACAATAAAAGACCTAAATTTGCAAACTCCAACTTTGCCTACAGTTTATGATTAATGAAAACTAGTGCTTACTGAAAGCTGATTATGTGTTTCATTCTGTGTGAAGCCTGAGGGGCTGAAGCTTAGAACACTAAAATCCTTCAAATTCCACCCAATTTAATGAATCTCTTCAATTAACTTTGCAGATTGAATCACCGAGTCAGCACAATCAGTGCAGCAAAACCCATTAGAATAGATTTTACTCTGTCTTGCTAAAAAAGCATCAGTTGGTCATCACAGCTGATTAAGTAATACAAGACAGCACAGCACACCCAGAAAATTACTTTTCCTTTGAAGTCACAATTTCACAAGTTTCAGAGTGCTGCTTGCCTACTTACCTAAGGTTAGTTTAGAGTTTAGGCAGAGGCGATGTTTCAGCTCAGGGGCAGCAAAGCAACCATATTGTATGTGGTGTAGCCATTACTGTTATCTATAACAGCAGGGGTGCAAGCAGAGAGTTACTGGGGAGCAAAGACTCTAGAAGCTAATGAAAATAAAAACAAAGCAAACCAACAAACCACAGCTCGGACTTTTTTTCTTAATAATTTCCTCAATCATAGAGTTTTTTGTTGAATTATCAGTGAGCCAAGATTAATGCCAAATAAAATACCAGACTAAACTGAAGCACTGCTGGTTATCCTATCAAGGCCACATGTGAGACAGCCATGTTTAAAATATCCTGTGCAATATTCTCATTATTACTGTGGCATGAACTCGAGGGTCTTACAGGCTCTTCTAGGCCAGCTGTCAAAGCCAGACTGGAGCCTGGCCACTGCACATGGACTGTGAGAGCCAGGCGTTTAGGAGCAGCACATTTTGGCTTTAGAATCACAGATTCACTGGATCACTGGGTTGGAAGAGACCTCCAAGATCATCAAGTCCAAACCAGCCCCAACACCTCAACTAAGCCCTGACACCCAGTGCCACATCCAGGCTTTTTTAAAACATATCCAGGGATGGGGACTCCACCACCTCCCTGGGCTGGCCATTCCAGAAGTTTATCACTCTTTCTGTAAAAAACTTTTTCCTGATATCCAGCCTGTATTTCCCTTGGTGCAGCTTGAGACTGGTGGACAGAGCACCCAGTGGAATAATAGAGCACATTTATCAAAAAGGCAGAGTGAAGCAACTTGCAGCCACTAAAAATAAGGCAAATCCTACCCACCTCAGTTTTATTCCCAGTCTTGCTGTTCCCTCAGCTGTTCTGACCTTATTGAGCCATTAGCACTGGGCCAGGAGATGACAAGGAGCTGGATTGCTGCTGATGCCCAGGGAGAAGGGAAGGTGGCACACGCAGATGTGCCACCAGCCCAGCCTGGCAGCTCAACTAGAGGCACATGAGGGGGTTGGTGGGCTCCTTTGTTCTTCAAACAAAGTAAAAAATGCATATGGTTTAAATTCCTACTGATCTACCAGCTCCTTAAGGAAGGGTTGATGACAAATGTGTGACTGGCAATCCCACAGAAAGTCCATTGCTCACTAATTTATTCAAACACATGCCTTTTTCCTTCCTTTAGTGTTTCACAGAACAGAAGAAAGTACTTTTGAGAAGATGTCTATCCTAAGGAAAAAATTACTAATCCTAAAAGATATTCCTTTGCTGACACTCTGGAAGAAATGACAGGCTGTAATCCCAACATAAAAGAGTCTAAATTTGAGTTAAAATAAAACCTCTAGGTCTATTTTACATAAACCTTATTTTTGGTTTAATCAGAACATTCAAAACTGTCTATAAAATTAATTATATCACATATAACTAAATTATTAAATGCACTAATTATATCACATAAATTTAATTAAATATCAAATTACAGTGACAGTTGTGCAACAACTACGTTTGAAAACAACAGAAAGACAAAAAGTCCAATTTTGTGAAGTTCCATCACCTCTCCCCTTTAAATCAAATCAATAAAACATCTACTTCTAATTAACTATAATAGGCATAAAACAAATACTCTATGAAAGAGAAATGTTTGATCTCCAGGTTTTCTTGATTTAAGGTTTTTAGTGAAAAGTTGCTTTTTAAAAAATCATTCCACTGTGTCCTGCTCATAAACATTCAGTGCATTTATATGGTCCTTCTCCACACATCATCTGTATTCTAAGAGAACACAAACCATGTACTATGTATTCAAATTCCCTGCTTTTCACAATGTTTAAAAAAAAAAAAAAAAAAACAAGACCAAAAACCAGTCTTGGCTTAAGTTATACACCCAGAAGCTTCAGTTCTAGTGATGTTGCACATAAGCATTGAAGGGGAGTCTGATACTCCTCTACTGCCTGACAAAAGAAAACCTAAACTATTAAAACCATTGTGTATTCTATTTTATTTATGCTACCTGAAATTCATTCTCAGATCAGCTCAGAGGGTTTTGTGGGTGAGGTTAATTCCATCAGTTCCTTCACAGTGAAAGAATTTTTAGTGTCTGTAAAAAAAAAAAAAATAAAAAAAAAATTAATACAACACCACAATGAGAGACTGTTTTATCTTTCCTCTATAAACCTCCAGGACTGCTTTGCCATTGTACAGGAATAGCAAAGCAAATATTCCTGTTGGAAGGGTGTAATTCAGCTGAGGGTTCTACAGTCCATAGACTGCTCTGACACAACTTCTACAATTTGGCTTCAAGTATTGGAAATTCTATATTGCATCAGTACATTTCACTCACTCTCAAGAAATGATTCAAATTAGAACTATTAAATCATTGTCCCAGAATTCCTGATGCTTCATTAAAAAAACCCACACGTGCAGATAAAGAAGAAATTCAAATTTTGAGGTATGCAGTATCCATTTAACTGTCAGGAAACGGCAAACAATGTACTGTGGGTTTTTGGTAAGAAAAGTTAACATTCTGAGAGAATGAAATTTCTAAGAGAAGTATTTACAATACATATTTTGAAGTCTTTAGTTAAAAAAATCAATCACACACACCAAACAGTTTTATTTGTCTTTAGTACCACATGAAAGACACGTACAGACCATTTAGAAGTCAGTTAGTCCTCAGTGCAAGACAAGATCAAATTTGTGTTACATTTGGGTTGGTTTTTTAGCTTTTTTCTGGGATAAGGGAGATGTGTTGCACTTTTGGTTGGTTGAGGTTTTTTAAACAGTTCATTCATTGTTGCAGAGCACGACTTGCAAGAGCTCTTGACTATTTAAACCAACCCATGGAGGAGAAAAAGATAATTTAATATATATACTGTCCATCACAATGCCTTCAGTTCTGTTACTGTGCTTCCATTGTGCCACTATCACTATTTGCTTACAGCACACTGTCAGATTAATACCATTTTATTAAAAACTAAAGCAGTTGTGAGGCTGCAAATATTAAAATTTTAAATATGGAGCTGTGTTTTGCTCTGATAAGTTTTTCACTCCAGAAAATTAAATAAAATCAATCCTCTTACCTTCTTTAAAATGTACGCCAGCATTCTAGTCCAATATCATCTCATTTATTTCTATCAATTGGAAAACTGTTTCTTTATAATGATAAATAATATAATAATAAATTATAAAATAATTGTTCTTTATAATAATATTTTTATATCTTGATCCTGGAATGTGCAGTGGTGTGGGAGCAGCAGGAGCAGGGGGTGCAGGGGACAGGAAGGGCCATCCCTGCTCACTCACACAGATGCCACCCATGATCCCATCAGCTTCCCCCAAAAAGCTGCAGGAGCAGATACAGCACCCTTCTCCTATGAGCTGTTTGGCTAACAGGGACATGAGTTAGTTGGAATACATAGTGAACTTGTGAATTACCCAAACAATAATTTGGGGAACTCACATGCTGCACTAGGCTGTGAAAAGGGAACAAACAAAGTCCTCTTTGGATGTCTGTGGGTTTGGGGTGGCTTCTCTCAAACCCAAGGAACCCCTGAACTGAAGCTTACAGAATATATTGTCCTGTAAACTTCAGGAGTTACTGTGACAGCAGCCTGTGTGAAAGAGAGATTTTGATGTTAAGCTGACAATATTTTCTCAATGGTTATAATAGCATCAATAATAATAATAATAATAATAATAATAATAATAATAATAATAATAATAATAATAATAATAATAGTAATAATAGTAATAATAATAGTAATATAATGATTATAATACAATACAATCGAATATGTAATTATAACAATAAATAACAATATATTACATTGTACATTTCAATAATATAATTATAATATATATTATATTATATTGTAATTCTATATTATAACAAAGTAAATAATAATAATAGCAATAGCAAAAATAGTAATAGTAACAGCAATAATAAAAAAATAAAAATAACAACAATAATAATAATAATAATAACAATAATATAATGGAAATAATAATAGCTAGCAAACCTGAGAAAAGCAAACTTGCTGCTTGTCTATTAGGTTGTTCAAAATCTTCTGGCTCCCATGATGCACAGCATGTCCAGAACTCAGGATTCAGGAGCACCCTGAAAAGCTTTACCAGGAGATATCCCCAGTGCAGCCAGAGGTTGCCAGGCTCTCCAGCAGTTTCATATCTGAAGGTCACAACTTTAAACACAACCTGCTTTACTATAAAAACTTGCTGATACAAAAAGGAGTTGAGATTTCCAAATTGCAAAGTGGAAGCACTTAGTTTCTACAGTTTGCCTGGCTTCCACTTAGACACAAATTTTAATACAAAGAGAGGAGGAAAGACAATCAGAATAGCATGTAAGAATACGAAACATGAGATCCAAGACATCCCAGTATCTGTCAAAGAAAAGACAATCAGAATAGCATGAAAGAACCATAAATATGAGATCCAAGACACCCCAGGACCAGCCTCTGATAAAAATATCTGTCAAACAGTAAAGAGCATACTAATAATAATACATAATAATATGTCAGTAGTCTTATTAGCAGGACCTAACAACCATGAGTGCTTCTAGCTCAAATTTGGAAAAGAAATGAGAAAGTCTAATCATCCCAAAAATCTGATACAATCCTTTCCCTCTCCTATTATCACTTAGAAAGCCCTTATTAAAATAAAATCTTTCGAGTACAAATTAAGAGAGTCATCTGAAGATACAGAACTGATTTTCAATAACTCCTGTAAGCCTGGAGAGACTCCAAAAGCTGTGGCTATATTTAAAAGCAGTAAGTGAGATGAATCAGGCAACCTCTGCATCATCAGTTTGAGTTCCAAATAAAGTAACATGAGTAAGAGTCTGCCATTCAGAACTGCTAACAAAGCTTTTAGTGAGATTGTATAAAATCAGACAGGTGTGTTTAGGGCAGCTGGACTTTGTTTGATGGCAGCTTGTTTTAGGCAGTAAAGGGTTTGAGGTGCACAGGTGAGATCCTTGGCATTTCAACCTGAGAAATATATAATATCTATTATATAATATATAATATATTACTATATATACAATATATATTACAGTATTATTATATATTGTTATATATAATATATTGTATTGTATTTATATATATATATAGATATGTAATCTTTCTTTGGATTACAGTAACAGTTTTATAATTTACAGCTAGCAGACCTAGAGTCAGATATGGATTCCAAGGGTTTGCACAGAAAGGAGCAGACAGAGAAGAATTTCAGGTAAGTACTCACCAGGTGGATCAGTCTGGTCTAAGCCACACCCAACACCTTCAGCTGTGAAGATGCTCAGCTGGTGATGAACACCACTCAAGATGTGGCCCAAATTATATACACTGGGACACTCCAGCATCTGCCAAGAACATTTAGAGTTGTCATTTAAGATGGGCTCAACTTAATTTCTCCCAGTTCCTCATTTTAAGTTACAATATTTTACTGCAAATTCTGCACAAAACCTCATTACAACAAGAAGCAAAGTTGATATGTTCTTTGTGATGTCTCAAAACCCAAAGCAGTCACAATGAAGAAAACAGTTTTCTAAGAGTTACTCTGTTGAAAATACACAAAGTAAGAAAAACAGTTGTTGTAGGATTTTTAAGTGCTATTTTCCAGCTTCTCTTCTTCTGTTTTTGTCAGAAGCACTGACAAGCACATCTAAACTTGCCCCGAAAGAAAAGTTAATCAGAAAATTTCAAACACCGTTAAGGCTTCACTGAAGCAATTTCAGCTTCAGTGTAAGGAGGGTTCACTCTTCATTAATCAAATATGTCAATGAGCTCTTTGGCCTCATGGTTTTGCATACAAAAAGGCGGCTGGCACAATTGTGGCATTCATATTTTCTGGAAAAATCCCTTTGCCCAGGATTCTTCTCCTGGGAAGCTGAGAATCCTCAGAGAAAAAAGGAAAACAATAATTATCTGATTCGCTTCTCCTGTGTTTTGCTGCTTTGGAATGTGTTGGGAGATTGTTTATCCAACAGGTGATTGTTTCATTGGTTTAATGCAAATTGTTTCAACTCATTGGCCAATTACGGTCCAGCTGTGCCAAGGCTCTGGAAAGAGTCATGAGTTTTCATTATTATCTTTTTAGCCTTCTGTCTGTATCCTTTCTGTATTCTTTAGTATAGTTCAGTACAGCATTCTTTAATGCAATATAATATAATAACATAAAATAATAAATAAGCCTTCTGAGAACACGAAGTCAGATTCGTCATTCCTTCCTGCCACGGGGCGCCCCACAAATGCAATACACGATGAGTCCAGAGCAGGCACACTGACCAACATTTCCAGCAGCCCCACAGGCAGACCAGACTGAATTCTTCAGTGAATTCTTCAGTGAATATTCAGTGAATTCTTCAGGCTGCCCCCATCATAACCATCTGCACTAAAATGGAGTTTGGAGGGGAGCTCAACTTCTCCACACCATGCCCTGTGCCATCTCAGGAGGCCTCAGCGCTGTGCTGGCAGAGCACAGGCAGTGTTGGGGACACCCAGAGAAGGGCTGTGGATTAGGGTCTGCACCCTCCAGCCTGATCAGAATGTGGCTCAGGATATAAAGTTCAACAGCTGCACATGCCCACCCCCACTGGGTGATCCAGGGGCAGAGCTCCATGCCTTGATCCTGTCCACTCTCACCCAGGAGCACAAAGCTTGCCCTCCCTGCCAGATTCCCTCTCAGAACACAAGCACTCACCAGTCTCACAGAACAGGGATCTATCTCCCACCAAATCTGCCATCAAATCCCACATTTTCCCCCAGTCAGTACAGTTGGAGGCTCAGAATTCACATGATGAATTCCATCTTTTCCACCAGACCTGGTTTTCATTCCAGTGCTGGAATCCCGACTCTTGAGCTAGATTTGACGAGAATGGTATGGCATTTCTCATCATCAGCTGCTCAATATTCTTACTAGTGCTAGAAAATACACTTGTCCTCGTGGACAACCACTCTTTTTACTCCAATATTCCAGCACAGGTGCCTAAGCTTGCTACTGATGGCAAAAATGGCAATGGAAGGAGAAGGCAGGCAGGAGGAAGGCAGCAGGGTCAAGAAATCAGTTTTCCAACAATAAAGGAGTGAATGGTGACACTACTGGTTGTAATTTTATGAGAGATAGATTTGGCATAGATAAGAGCTTAAATTTGATTGCTGCAAGTATTTTTATATTTATAAATTTTTAGAATAATGAAAATAAACTGGCTGCAGCACTAGAACAGCCTATGGCTTGGGAAATGAACAGAACAAGCACCTGAATAGTTGAACTGTGCAACTTGTAAATCTGATTTTTCCAAAGTCCAATCAAAACATTCTTTGTTTAAAGGCATATAAATCACAGGAAAATCTTGGCCTGCTATGAATAACAATCTTTCTCTGGCTTTGATTAAAATCTGAGCCATTATTTCCATGGTTGTGAATATTGGTTTTGGGCACCTGTAAGGCAAAAAGATCCATTCTATTATCAGCAAAGGATCCTTTTTAGAAGTGTCCTACTGGAACATGAGACTATGCAGCTGTATTTTTTCTCCTAACACTGGAAGAAACAAGGATAGTGATTGTATACATTGATGAGCTTGTCTCTGTTGGAGGGCTTCAGTAATCTTTTCGAGCAGGTGTTGGCGATCTTGCAGAAGTAGTGCCACAGTTATGTTTTAAATAGGGTATCAGCAACTGCAGGATGAAGGCTTGCAAAGTATCTCTCATCTCATTTTTAATAAAGGGAAAACAGGTCTAATGCACCAGCTTCACTTTGCTTTCTGAAACAGGCACTATTTGAGTAAATAGATGAAAAGGCAGATTAGAAATATATGTGCACTTGTATTTAGGACCCTCAGTCTGCAATTTAAACAAAATATATCGGCTTACATTCCATTTAAATTCAGGTCAGAGGAAAACATAGATGAAGAAAAACAGTTAACCATGCAAATTTTGAGAACCCAAGGTGACATAATATCTAGGTATTATCTTTAAAAAATGAAGATAAATATGCTCTACCTGGGGAAACTGTATCTTCATAGATTATGTCAAAGCTTAAGACATGCATAATTGATTTATGTAGCCCAAGACAAATGAGACACATGGAGAGCCAAGCCAGTAATAGTTTTAAGGAACATTCATTAAGCTTAACTAAGTAAAATACAGTTTATAACATGCAGAGTAGTTTTCATAATTTATATGTGTTCAGTTTTTGCATTTTCATTAATGTATACATTTAAGAACCAACTGACAAATGAAAAGTTCTGGTATAAGAAAATGAATGCAAAGGATAAATACAATCTACAAGGCCAGATCAATTTGCCATTAAGAGCACAGGGACCTGCTCACAATAAAATACTGCTGATGAATGTAAATTTGGTTCTTTGCTTAAAGCATGGAACTTCAGATCTGTGAAAGAGAGAAAAACATGAGTCAGATAAAATCAAATCTCTCTCTGGGCTCAGAGTTTGCAAGGCACAGGGCTGGGTTTTGTTTTGTTAAAAAAGAAAGTGTAAGTATTCTTGTTAGAACAGGCAAAGGCCAGCTGGGAGACAGCCATCCTCCCACAATTTACACTGCCCACCACTGTGAGTGTTCACATTCTGCAAAACCCCTCCATCTCCCTTGCTTTGTTTTTCCTCATAAAATAATAATCTTTCCTTCAATTAAAGCTGTACAGATTTTTTTAAAAAATACATTGATTTTGGGTGGGATGATGGTGATGCTCATTCTTTGCAAGCCCAGTTTCCCAGTTAGCAATTCTGACTCGCTCATCATACATTGATAATTCAAGGAGGAGGGAAGATCAGTGGGCAGCATGAACTTTTGCCAGTCATTTCCTGCACACATTCAAGCACTCATTGTTTAGGTGAGAAGCATAACTCAGGCACTGGTACAGGACCAAAGACACCCAGCAACAGAACTTCCCAGTGCCCCAAACTGGGAAGAATCACCCCAGGTTTGTCATACTGAGTATTTCCAAACTACAATCAGACAGTTTGCAGAGAGTGTGAATAGAGTGTACCAAGGAGCAGAGATGTTGGCACACACATTATTATCATAAAGTTGCAACAAAATCCAGTGGAGATGAATTTCAGCATTTCTCCAGTATTTTTTACCCTAAGCTTACCAGTATTACCTGAATTAAAAACCTTAGGCTGACAAGGTGACAGATTTCCCTTAGCCTTGATTTTAGTGACAGACACAAGGAATCTGAAGCTGCTGCAGATAAACACAAAGTTTATTGTGCAACAGAGAGCTGAGCAAGTGATCTCTGAATACTGCAATAAGAGAAATGTTATGTGCTCACAATTAACAGATTTCATTTTTCATGGCATTGCACATCTCCTGCATTTTAAAATATACTGCACATTTGGGCTGGTGGGGTTTTTTCATATTTTTCATTTAGATGGAGAAATGTTAAAATTTATATGAATTTTGATAGCTGTGCATTTTTAAGAAGGGAAGTAAGATACAGAATAATTTTTGGAAGAATGTAATGTAAGATGCAGATAAGTTTTATAAAAATGTGTTCAAGTGCTTCCTTGACACAGCACTGTCACAAACTCAGACTATCCTGCTGATCTCAGTGAGCTCTAACCCTTTGACTAAGCCTCACAATCTAAGTTATTTGGGTTCAAGGTATTTAACTCAATTATTTTATTGAAAGCCAGCAGAGATGCAGTGTCCCATGAAATTTTTCCAAAAAATGCTGGAAAAGT